TTGGGTAGTCCTCAACTTATGACCGGTTTAGTCCTCGACTTATGACCGGTTGGGGTCACGGCATTAAAAAGGTTCAGAACCACTGATCTAAGACATTCACCCAGCTTGGAAGGGCTTCTCTTTAATAGGACAGTATTTGCTAATTCCAAGCCTTTCCTTTTTCCAACTGTGTTTTTCTGTGGTTGCAAATGTGAGCGCAAACCACATCAATGGATGACTTACAGACAATACAAAATCACAGTATTTGGGCTGTAAAAGTCTGGATTATGGTAAGACAAAAGTAATTCTGATGACAATAAAGTGTGGTAGCTAAGTTGTTCGTAGAAGAACTTAATTCAGGACTTTAAAAAGGGGAAAGGTGAAATGGTTCCTCACCTCTGGTGAAATAAAAAATATGGGAAAGAAATTTCCTGATAGTGAAAACAATTAATCAGTGGAACAACCTGCCTCCAGAAGCTGTGAATGTTCCAACACTGGAAGTTTTTAAAAAGAGACTGGACAGCCATTTGTCTGAAATGGTATAGGGCAGGGGTAGGCAACCTTGGCTCTTTTATGACTCGTGGACTTCAACTCCCAGAATTCCTGAGCCAGCACAGCTGGCTCAGGAATTCTGGGAGTTGAAGTCCACGAGTCATAAAAGAGCCAAGGTTGCCTACCCCTGGTATAGGGTTTCCTCCCTGAGCAGGGGGTTGGACTAGATGACCTCCAAGGTACCAACTTTATTATTATTGTTGTTGTTGTTGTTGCTGCTGCTGCTGCTGTTGTTGTTAACTCAGAACAACAGTGTCTTGACCTTATTGTCTTTAAAAAGGTACAACTACAGTTTTTACAATACTGTTAATACAATACTAAAGAGTCCCTGCAGGATTTTTTTTCTTGACCTGGCCTATCTCAGAAGGTTGACACTTGGATTACAGTTGATAGAATTTTAGTAGCCAGTCAAAATTTAGGTTTTCTTCAAAATGGTGCTGTACTGAACTCAGTAGTAGAGAAATCAAACCACTTGCTGCTCTCTACAATGTACAAAGGGCTTTGTTCAAAAGTAGATCACAGAGCCAGTTTGGTGTAGTGGTTAAGGCATCAGGCTAAAAACTGAGAGAAACCAGGAGACTGTGAGTTCTAGTACTGCCTTAGGCACAAAGCCAGCTGAGTAGCTGTGAACCAATAATTCTCTTCCAGCATTAGAAAAAAGTCAGTGGCAAACCACTTTCTACAAAAAGCTGCAGGGACTTATCCAGGCATTTGTTAGGTATCAAAAACCGACTTGAAGGCACAAAACAAAACAAAGCAAAACCCAACACATATCAGCAGTGATTCTGCTAGGAAACCTCTGCCTTGCCAGCTGTTCAAGACTGGGAATGGTAAAAATATATAAATTTCTATCAGACATAGCAGTGGATGGATCTATGAATCTGTAAGGCTAGTTAATGAATAAAAAGGGAAAGAGCATTTAAATTCCTTAAATTCAGACTTCCTTGAAAAGTGTATTCTTCTTAATTATTTGTACATCTTTATCGATTAAATTCCTATCCTGCCTAGCAGACCAAGTAACATTCACAGCAGGATTTGTATCTAATAAATAAATAAAAACTGTTTAACTCTTATCTGCTTGCTTGATCAACAAAGGTTGGCACAAAAATGGAAAAACAACCCACACAACACTAACCAATGGCCCTATTGAATGGAAAACTGTAATCAGCTTACTTAAGGAACACTTTCTTGACTAGGAATTTGTACACGAGTGTGTGTCTGATAACAAAAACAGAACGGACAAATTGAACTTACATCAGTTTTTCCACTATCCACTCATATAATATGAATATCTATTAAATGTATTCAAGCCTAAACATAAATTTTATAATATAAATATTCCCACCTAAAGTGGAATTTGAGGGAGTGAAGTGAAAATTATATACAGTAAACTGTATATAATTCTAGAAAACAGAAATATACATCCTGAACAAAATAGCTATTCTTGCTCAAACAAAAATCAAAGATAAATCAAAGAAAGTAAGAAACTTTGAATAAGAGCACCTAAAAATGGAATGTTATAGTGGCAATTATTTTACTGGTGCTNTTTGAGGAAAGCAATTGCTGGTCTCATCTATCAGAACCATGACAGCAGCCCTCTGTGCTGCACATTACAACAATCCAATCAGGAGGTAACTAAGGTTTGAATAACAATAAGCAAGGCCTTCCAATCCAGGTGCAGACACAATTAGCATGCAACAGGCAATTATGCAAAGGGCCCCTGGCCACAATTGCTACCTTACTATTGTGGTGGAATATACACTAAGAACACAAGCTCAGGATCAAGATAAAATTCTCTGGCTGTGAGGCCAAGTCAGAATGTTCACAATACTTAAAGTAAGAAAAATTTAAAAATAAAGAAGATAAATGTTAAGACTGGCTACACTTGTGAACATCTGAATATCATCATGGGCATGACATTTTCCAAGTTAAAAGAGCAACAGCAGTAGAGGTGTCTTGTGAATGCTATCCACTGATATATTTGAAGCTTTTTTTGTATCAGAAGCTTACCAGGATCAGAGTTCTAATCAGGTAACTTCACCTTCTTCCCTGACACTACAGTCAAAACTCTAGCATACACATTGTATGCTGGATATTGTTTGCTTGCTTACTTTAAAGCAAAGCATATCTGCATTGTAAGAAACATCTTGTTTGTCTTGTTGAGCTGTTAGTATAAGAAAACAAATATGATTGAGTAATGAATACACGGTGACATGACTTCCATGAATGAAACATAGCAATTGAAGGATAGCATTTGTATAAAAGAAAAAAAGCAACAGAAAGTGGGAAAATCAGTTGAACTGTATATTTAAAATATTCATTCCTGCTCAGAAATTTAAGTGAACATTAATGTAAAGAACACCTGGGTTAAAATAAGTAGAGAAACAAATAAAATCAATGCTTCTTCTGGAGCCTTTATCTCAGATCACCAAGAAGATATAGATGAAGCCTTCCAAACACAAATGTCAGATCTTTCAAAGAAGTATAAAGTTGCAGTGGTGTTTTATTATGCTAATATCAGCTGGAAAATAAACTCTCTCTGCCATGGTCTTTCCAGGAAATTCTTGACAGACATTGTTTTTCTGACAACTTAGTCCTTTGGAGAGCAAAGAAGGCTTCAAGGGAACCTCAAGAATAACAGTTGGGAAGATTCAGCTGAGAAAGCAAAAATTGTTGGAACTCTAGGGGGGAAAGTGGAGACAGCCACGTTATGATGGAGTTCTTATTGTGATGGAAAGAAAAACTCAACATTGCAAAATGTACATCCAGTTCTTCAAAAAGAAAAAAAAACCACCCAGATAAAGACTTCCTTTCATACTTTCCTTTTCTTCAGCTGGTTTTCTCAGACTAGTTTGCAAAAAACTTGTCAAGTGACTGGATTTAGCTACTCCTACCACTTATATAATTATATGGAGTTATTTAACCTTGTACATGATTGGGCCTGCTTTGATTTATATTTAACTCTTTGTGGTTAAATGACATTAATTAAACCCTTTTTGGTATCCCCTTAGTACACTAACCCAAATAACCCAATTACATATGCTGTGGAATACGAACCGTATTCTATTATTTATACTTTACAGTTATGTTTGTGTAGTATGGTTAAACTCCAACCATCATTTTCCATATGAACTAGTGATCTTTGATAAGCATATTCAAAAGAAGCACATATTATAATTTTCTATTATAATAAGCCATTAAACACTCTAATGTAAAAAACATATTTCTAATATTTTGCCAATAAAAACTTAGTGCACCTAGTGAGTCATATATATGTCAACTAAAAACAATTTCTACACTGTTCAAGAAATAAATATCAGTCAGAATGTTCAACAATTAGCTATTCTTTTATTCAGGCTAATAACCTCCATATAATTATAACTTGAATATATACATGAATAAATTCTGGGTTTGAAAAATTTGCCATTTCTGTTATGATACCTGTCAATAAAAATGTGTAAAAGGAGACATACTTCTATGTTTCTTTCTTAAAATAGTTATCCTGGATAGCCAAAACAGTTGAAAATTGATAACCTTTGAATAATAACGCAGGGTGTATATCAGGCATTTCTCCCTGCAAATCTTTTTCTCTTTTTTTAACCAATACTTTTGTTAAAGATTATACTTTACAGATCCTGCAGATCTTTTTCTCATTTCATTATGCCAGCTCAAGTAAATCTTCAGGCAACAACTTTAAATATTAAATATTTTTAAGCAAACAACTGCTAAGTTTTCAAAATAAGAACAAAACCTAATGTACTAAAATTATGTTTTCACATATAAAAAAGTACCTGCTCAAAGGCACTAAGAGAAAAAGTCTTTAGTTAACATTACTTAGGTCTAGGTTTCATACTCTTTCTCCACTTCTATATCAGCTTCATGTTATTATTTACAAATAAACATTACAATGTCAAGTATATGATTTGCTTTCTAAGAAAAAAGTAGAGCTACAGTATATGATTTGTTTTATATCTAAGAAAAAAGTAGAACTACAGTATTCAGATTTGGCTTCTTACAAAGTATAAAAAAGGATTTAGGCGTGTCCTCATTTTTTTTCTATTCTTTTCTTTTCAAATGTCTTGTTTGAAAATGAATTTAAAGAATATTTTAAGGCACTTATTACATGAAAAGAAATTAGAAGCTACAATTACACCTTCAGATATTAGATGCATGCTGGGAGAAGCCTTCTTGAGAAAAAAATAGACTATACAGTGCATTGCACTTCAACTGATATCTAGAGAATGATGCAATACATGAATACCTTTCCACCACTCCAAAATTAGCAACTAGAGGTTTGCTATTTAATTATCATGCAATTTTCTCTTTTCACTCAAATATTCAATTGACATTTTGGAGCATATAAAACTCCATTTCAAATTTTATCCAGCAGTACTAAGTTTTATGTTGAGGGAGCAGGCATTACTCATGGGAGATGGCAGGGAGGGCAAAACTGATGAAGAATGGCTTACCTATTGCAGTCCACATGAAGCAGGAGGTGGGATGCACTGAGGGACAATGCAATTTTATGCCATTGTCCATCTGCTAGCCGATAGGGAAATACTTCTGTTCTTGTCTTTCCGTTAAATCTGTAGTGATACCTTATTTCATCTCTCAGGCCGCTGCTTTCCAGTTCAAAGTAACTGCATTTAAAACAAAGAGAATCAATTCCATTCTGAGGATAATATATTATACATGATATGCTTATAAGATTATACATGATGTGTTATAAGATTCAGTGCAAACTGCCGTAATTGAAAAATTTCTTGAAATAATAATTGAAAAACTATGCCAATGTTGTCAGTTTCAATCAAACTCCACAGTAGAGGTGATCCGTTGTGTATTATCATCTCAGATAATGCTGTGTCAAATTCAGTTTAGCAATTCCTTACAACTTTCCATCTCATATGAAAAGATTGTTTTTCTACTTTGTTCCTCTTATTTGACCATTTATTTTTAGTTCAGGTGGCCCTCGACTTACAACAGTACATTTAGAGTCTGTTCAAAGTTACAATAGCATTAAAAAAAAGGTCTTATGACCATTTTTCACACTTATGACCATTGAAGCATCCCCAGGTCATGTGATCAAAATTCAAATGCTTAGCAACTGGTTCATATTTATGACCGTTGCAGTGTACCAGGTCAAGTGATCCCCTTTTGCTACCTTCTCACAAGCAAAATTAATGGGGAAGCCAGATTCACTTAACAATTATGTTATTAACTTAACAACTGCAGTGATTCACTTAACAACTGTGGTCACAAAATGGGGCAAAATTCACTTAACAATTGTCCCAGAAATGTTTGGCTATCTGTAATTATCATCTCAGATAATGCTGTGGCAAAATCAGTCTAGCAATTACTTAATTGCTCATATGAACATATCATGTTTTTCTACTTTGTTCCTGGAGTGTCTGACCATTTATTTTTCCTACTATAGAAGGTAGAGGAAACAAATATTGTTTTCTTGTTTCTGTTCCAGAGCATTCCATCACATGAAGCCTCCTCGGCTGCTCACACTTCTGAATATGCAGAACCCCAGTAGGAAAAGACATATCTTCCCCGGAGATTTAGTGATGCATAGGAAGTCAAGGAGGCTGCAGATTGCCAGATAGATGGCTCTGCTGTGATCATCTAAGACATTCACCCAGCTTGGAAGGGCTTCTCTTTAATAGGACAGTATTTGCTAATTCCAAGCCTTTCCTTTTTCCAACTGTGTTTTTCTGTGGTTGCAAATGTGAGCGCAAACCACATCAATGGATGACTTACAGACAATACAAAATCACAGTATTTGGGCTGTAAAAGTCTGGATTATGGTAAGACAAAAGTAATTCTGATGACAATAAAGTGTGGTAGCTAAGTTGTTCGTAGAAGAACTTAATTCGGGACTTTAAAAAGGGGAAAGGTGAAATGGTTCCTCACCTCTGGTGAAATAAAAAATATGGGAAAGAAATTTCCTAATAGTAAAAACAATTAATCAGTGGAACAACCTGCCTCCAGAAGCTGTGAATGTTCCAACACTGGAAGTTTTTAAAAAGAGACTGGACAGCCATTTGTCTGAAATGGTATAGGGTTTCCTCCCTGAGCAGGGGGTTGGACTAGATGACCTCCAAGGTACCAACTTTATTATTATTGTTGTTGTTGTTGTTGTTGCTGCTGCTGCTGCTGTTGTTGTTAACTCAGAACAACAGTGTCTTGACCTTATTGTCTTTAAAAAGGTACAACTACAGTTTTTACAATACTGTTAATACAATACTAAAGAGTCCCTGCAGGATTTTTTTTCTTGACCTGGCCTATCTCAAAAGGTTGACACTTGGATTACAGTTGATAGAATTTTAGTAGTCAGTCAAAATTTAGGTTTTCTTCAAAATGGTGCTGTACTGAACTCAGTAGTAGAGAAATCAAACCACTTGCTGCTCTCTACAATGTACAAAGGGCTTTGTTCAAAAGTAGATCACAGAGCCAGTTTGGTGTAGTGGTTAAGGCATCAGGCTAAAAACTGAGAGAAACCAGGAGACTGTGAGTTCTAGTACTGCCTTAGGCACAAAGCCAGCTGAGTAGCTGTGAACCAATAATTCTCTTTCAGCACTAGAAAAAAGTCAGTGGCAAACCACTTTCTACAAAAAGCTGCAGGGACTTATCCAGGCATTTGTTAGGTATCAAAAACCGACTTGAAGGCACAAAACAAAACAAAGCAAAACCCAACACATATCAGCAGTGATTCTACTAGGAAACCTCTGCCTTGCCAGCTGTTCAAGACTGGGAATGGTAAAAATATATAAATTTCTATCAGACATAGCAGTGGATGGATCTATGAATCTGTAAGGCTAGTTAATGAATAAAAAGGGAAAGAGCATTTAAATTCCTTAAATTCAGACTTCCTTGAAAAGTGTATTCTTCTTACTTATTTGTACATCTTTATCGATTAAATTCCTATCCTGCCTAGCAGACCAAGTAACATTCACAGCAGGATTTGTATCTAATAAATAAATAAAAACTGTTTAACTCTTATCTGCTTGCTTGATCAACAAAGGTTGGCACAAAAATGGAAAAACAACCCACACAACACTAACCAATGGCCCTATTGAATGGAAAACTGTAATCAGCTTACTTAAGGAACACTTTCTTGACTAGGAATTTGTACATGAGTGTGTGTCTGATAACAAAAACAGAACGGACAAATTGAACTTACATCAGTTTTTCCACTATCCACTCATATAATATGAATATCTATTAAATGTATTCAAGCCTAAACATAAATTTTATAATATAAATATTCCCACTATTTCACCTTAAACTCCCTCACTTCACTTTTAATATATGTCATTTGACATATATTAAGATCTTTTGTCTTTATATGTAGGACTTGTTTTATCGATAAGAACGAGTTTGTTTTTAGTTTCTATTTAGTTTCTTTCATTCTTTGAAACTTATTCTCGTGGATTTTTACCTTACAATATCACCGTTAATAAAATGACCACGAGTCACCAATCAAAAAGACTTGTCAGTCTTTAAAAGCTACAAGCTGATTCCAGCACTATAATATCAAAGCAAGCAGGGAGACAAGTACTTTTAATGAAGTTCTATTTAGGATTTTAAATGTTTTGTAACTGCAATTTCTTTTGAAACTACAAAAGAAATTAGTTCCTACATTTTTAATCTACCCAAACGCACACTGGAGAGAGCAAAAATGGTAGTGGAATGACTGCAGCCGATGTCACACAAATTTAAGGGCTATACCTCTTGATCAACCTATTCTCCAAAGCACCAGAAGGCAAGACAAGAAGCAATGGATGGAAACTAATCAAGAAGGAGAGCCAACATAGAACTAAGGAGAAATTTCCTGACAATTAGAACAATTAATCAATGGAACAACTTGCTTCCAGAAATTGTGGATGCTCCAACACTGGAGATTTTGAAGAAGAGATTGGATAACAATTTGTCTGAAATGGTATAGGGTTTCCTGATTAAGCAGGGGGTTTAACTAGAAGACCTCCAAGGTCCCTTCCAACTCTGTTATTCTGTTATTCTCAAATGGCCTCAGGAGAGACTAAAAACTACAACAGTCCCACATAGACCCATTAGGATTAATTGCTTTGGTTAATTGATTAAGTTTTCCTATTCACACAACATAGGAACTCCCACTGTGACCCATTTTGCTAACTACTTTCATTAACAATTAAAATGCACCAGATTGTAATCATATCAGTCTTATTCATAAATACTGTACACATGACTTCTCCAAACAGAAAATAACATCAATATACAGTAGAGTGATGATTTGCATGAATATTCAGTGAACCCTAACATTTTAAACAAAAGAAAGATAAAAGTCTCAGAACTGATTAAATCCAAAAGATGCTCATATTCTGACAGGTGCTGTCTTCTATTCATAATATATTTTGCATATTATGCAGAGCAGTGATTCAGAAAAAAACCAAGATGAAACATAAATACGTTCCTTGATTTAGGAAAGACAGGGTGAAACCTCATATACTAGCAGAAAGGTACGAACTACTGTGAAAACCTCCTTTTATAATATTGTGTGAATTATCATGGAACCTCTTGAATTAGTAGTTGTTTCATTCTATGTGTGCTTCTTTGAATTCAACCCCATAAATATATTATATTATTTATTACAGTTAAAGTTTAATGTTCATCTTGAAGTATTCAGATGGTTTTCCCTCATGATTCTTTTAGGCAGAAAAGCAGCTTTTAACTTGCTCAGTCAGATGGGCATGCCACACTTTAAAGAGAGCTAAGTCCAACTACTATATTTAGCTATATTCAATTTTAAATGTTGCATTTGCATTATCAGTTGGGTAACTTGAAGAGTCATGAACTAAAAAATAGGATACATGCTCCTTATCAGGGAATAATTTGAGGAAAATTGGGACAAATAATAAAGACGAGATGGAACAGGGTATCAGTGAAAGAGTTTTGATCACGGATGGAAGACATCTGAGGCATAATTGCATAATTGTCTACATTTTTAAGCCAATGCCATTATTGTAGCCACATATTCCTTTGTTCCATAAAAAGAGACAGGATTTTTTTGAGCTTTTAATGGATGGAACTGGAAAGAAGGCTATTTTTAATCTTCCTTTTTAGGCAGAAGTAGCCTTAAGTCAGTCTTGACTCCTGGTGGCTGCCTGGACACGTCTCTGCAATTTTCTTGGCAAAGTTTTTGTTGTTGTTGTTGTTGGTAATTGCGAAGTCGTGTCCGATCCATCGTGACCCCATGGACAATTTTCCTCCATATCTTCCTGTCCTCTACCATCTTCTGGAGTCCATTTAAGTTCATGCTTACTACTTCAGTGACTCCATCCAGCCACCTCATTCTCTGTCGTCCCCTTCTTCTATTGCCCTCAATCTTTCCCAGCATTAGGCCCTTCTGCAGTGAGTCCTTCCTTCTCATTAGGTGGCCAAAGTATTTGAGTTTCAACTTCAGGATCTGGCCCTCTAAAGAGCAGTCGGGGTTGATCTTTTCTAGGACTGACCGGTTTGAACGCCTTGCAGTCCAAGGGACTCGCAGGAGTCTTCTCCAGCACCATAGTTCAAAGGCCTCAATTCTTTGTCGCTCAGCCTTTTTTATGGTCCAACTTTCACATCCATACATTGCAACTGGGAAAACCATGGCCTTGAC